AAAAAAAAAAAAAAAAGAAGCTTGTTTCTGTCAGTGGGCCAACATATTTGGAAATGAGATCTGAGCAGCAGGTGTGGTCAGTGTTACTGGGATGCCACTGATTCCTTTAGGTTGACAGAGCTAAAACACATGTACACACACACACACACACACACACACACACACACACACACACTCTTATTAAATCACGAGTTTATGCTGATACCTTTAATTCCAATCCTACCCTACAGGGTTCTTCCTTGCTCTCCCTTTTCTGTATTTGTATTATCCTTCTTCTACAGTAAGATCAACCTATTTCCTCATCTGCTTAAATCTATAATACAACCAACATAATTTCAGAATTGCTATACTCATACTCCTGTGAAAATAAACCTAGGAAGAGCTTAAGATTTCTTTGCAATCCTTTTTTTTTTTTCTTTAGAATGAGGGCATGCTATGTTCAAAAGTTACAAAATTAATTTTTTCCCTCTCTCCTATGTTATTTATTTAAAATACAGTTGGATCTTTTATTTGTTTCTTTTTAGTTTTACAGCACTCCCTATTGTTGAATTGCTTTCTGTGAAACATTGTGAAACATTAACCTGATTCCTAAGTCAAAACCATACAAAAGGTTCTCTCAGAGAAGCACCACCCCTCCTGTCCTCTAGTCCTGTTGTCTCCTACCCCTTACAGAGAACAAACCTCAGTAGTTTCTTATATGTATAAAGTATTATAGATTTCAAAATAAGTGATCACAATGCATTTTTTTTTCAAATTATGCCTTCCTCAAACTTATAAGACCCTCAGTAGCTAATAAAGGACCAAGTGTCATCACTGTTAGCAGTGGTTTAACTGTTCTCAAAATCTTTGCATTCATATGCTTGATTTCTTTCAAGTCTTGTTCACCAAAACTCTTTTTAAATTTGAAACACAGGTTTAGGGTAAGTACCAGTGTTACTGATTACCTGTTCCTCAGAAACCTCTAGAGGAGGAGATGCTTGTTGTTCAGACCGCCGATCGTCCTGATAGTTTACATTTCGTCGCTGACGTAAAGGAGGGAAAAGACGATTCCAATTGATCATTCCTCCCTAAAAAGAGACCAATACACAATCATCAGACACAGAAGAGAACCATCTTATTAATGCTTGGAAGTGCCTTTTCTTACCATGAGGTCACATGTAGAGACTGGGAAATAAAAGACTGGTCTGCTGATGCAAGCTGTCCAAACCCTACAGCATCACACCGCTATAGTAAAATTAAATTAAATTAAAATAAAATAAAATAAAATAAAATAAAATAAATAAAATAAACCCATGTTTTTAGCTATCTGCCAATATTTTATCAATTTATATCTTCTCTATTTCTAGATTTAGGAAAAATTACAGACTAAGACAACATGAAAATTTTCCTACTATGAACATCTAAAAATGCTAGACAAAATAAAAGAATATTTCACATGCGTAGTTGAACATAGAAGGAACAAATGGAGGCCCCAAGATCCCCAAAACAAGTGCTGGAAAACCAGAACAGTAAGCAGGCAAGCTGCCAGGGGTGGGGCTGTATGGGCGAGCACATCCTGCTAACCTAGAACCACTTGGGTTTCCTCACCTATTTGGGTTCAGGTGCTGAGACCTCGAGTATGAAAGAGGTAGTGACTCTGAGCTTATTACCTATGTAGAGGCACAACCCTCAAATGGCAACAACACCCTCAGTGAAAGAGAAGATGAGAAAAAACAAACCCGAAAGGTAGTCTCTCTGAGGGAGAGGGCAGTAATCTTGGCCTGCCTGAGAATTAAGAAATAAGAAATGAGAAATCTGAGGTTGAAGTTACATGAAAAATGTGTTTTAAAAACCCATCAAAACTGACACAAGAATTGGTTCTGGGATAGAGTTGGGATATATCTAAGGAGCCAAGCAAAAGCAAATGTAAAATTACTCTAGAGGGCCCCTCTCTTACCCTGGGATTACATGGGATTTATAGCTAAAACTCCAGTTGGGAAATACCTAGAATTCCAAATTCAAAACCCACGAGGAAAAAAACCATCATAAGCAAGGCTCAGTGTGTAAAATAAATAGAAGGATTAGATCCTTAGTGTTTAGGAATCAAAAGCACTGGCACTTGGTCTATGATAAAGGAGACATTACAAGTCAGCAGGAAGAGGACACATCATTTAATAAACAGCAATGGGACACATGGCTACATGGAAAAAGATAAAATTAGACTTTACTTCATACCATATACAAAAATAAGTTTATTGAAAAAATTAAACTTAAAGATTTAGATTACACCAATAAATGGAAAGACATTCTATGCTCATGGATTGGAAGAACAAATATTGTTAACATGTCCATACTACCCATAGCAATCTACATATTTAATGCAATCCCTATCAAACTACCAATGGCATTTTTCACAGAACTAGACCAAACAATCCTAAAATTTGTATGGAACCATGCAAGACCCCAAATAGTCAAAGCAATCTTGAAAAACAAAACGAAACAAAACCGAACAAAACTGGAGGCATCACAGTTTCATACTTCAAGTGCTATTACAAAGCTGTAGTAATCAAAACAGTATAGTACCAGCACAAAAATGGACACATAGATCAACGGAACAGAATAGAAAGCCCAGAAATGAACCCAAAGTTATATAGTCAGTTAATCTTTGACAAAGGAGTTAAGAATATATGATGGGAAAAAGGCAATCTCTTCAACAAATGGTGCTGGGGAAATCGTTCAGCTATATGCAAAAGAATGAAACTGGACCATTTTCTTACTCCATACAGAAAAATAAACTCAAAATGGATTAAGACCTAAATGTGAGACTTGAAATCATAAAAATCCTAGAAGAGAGCATAGGCAGTAATTTCTCTGACACTGGCTGCAGCAACATTTTTCTAGGTATGTCTCCTGAGGCAAGGGAAATAAAAGCAAAAATAAACTGTTGGGACTATATCAAAAACAACCTTCTGCACAACGAAGAAAACAATCAACAAAACTAAAAGGCAACCAACTGAATGGGAGAAGATATTTACAAATGACGTATCCAATAAAGGGGTAGTATTAAGAACTAATACAACCCAACACCCAAAAGACAATTAAAAAATGGGCACAAGGCATGAAGAGAAATTTCTCCAAGGAAAACATACAGATGATCAATAGACACATGAAAAGATGTTCAGCATTACTCATCACCAGGGATATGCAAATCAAAACTACAGTGAGATATCACCTCACACCTGTCAGAATGGCTGAAATCAAAAACACAAGAAACAAGTGTTGGTAAGGATGTGGAGAAAAAGGAACCCTCGTGCACTACAAATTGGTACAACCACTGTGCAAAATAGTATGGAGGTTCCTCAAAGTTAAAAATAGAACTACCTTACGATCCAGTAATTACACTACTGGGTATTTACCCAAAAAATACAAAATCACTAACTCAAAGGGATACATGAACTTCTATGTTTATAGTAGCATTATTTATAATAGCTAAATTATGGAAGCAGCCCAGTGTCCACTGATAGATGAAAAGATAAAGAAGATGTGGATGTGTGTGTGTGTGTGTATATATGTGTGTGTGTGTGTGTGTGTGTGTGTGTAGACACAGATGTGTGTGTATCTATATCTATAATAACCAATAACCAGAATATATAAAGAATCAATGAGAAAAAATAAATGACTCAAGAGAGAAATGAATAATGTACAGCTAAGCCTTGAACATGGATTTGAGCTGTGTAGATCCACTTATATTCACATTTAAAAAAAAAATTTTATGTTTATTTATTTCTGAGACAGAGAGAGACAGAGCATGAATGGGGGAGGGTCAGAGAGAGAGGGAGACACAGAATCTGAAACAGGCTCAGGCTCTGAGCAGTCAGCACAGAGCCCCACGTGGCGCTGGAACTCAGAGACCGCGAGATCATGACCTGAGCCGAAGTCGGACGCTCAACCGACTGAGCCACCCAGGCACCCCAGAACAGTATACTATTTAAACTATTTTGTGGATATATACCAGTGGTGATTTTGCTCCCCAGGCAGTATGTGGAAATGTCTTAGGGGCATTTTTGGTAGGGGCTGGGAGGTGGGGGACAAGATGGTAGTGTTGCTGTGTGTAGCGAGCAGGGATGCTGCAGGGACGTCCTATAATGCTCAGGACAGACTCCACCACAAAGAATGGTCTGGACCAAAATGCCCATAGTGTCTAGGTTGAGGTACTCTACCACAAAAACGTGCTATAGACACAAGCAGGCACAGGCCTTAGACACCACCTGCCGGCTGCAGGACAGCGGGAAGGGCAATGAACCTTTGGTTGAAACTGCAACGTTTTATTTCTTCAAAGGGAGTGACAGTGGAAGAGCAGCAAAGCAAAACTGAACCCTAATCCCTCTGCTCCTGTGATGGTGAAAAAGTGCTTAAAAAGCAGAAAGTTACAGGAGCTCTAGGCTCTAGGATGTTTTGACACTAATCTGCTCTCGATGCAGGTTAACTATGAGCTTCTACAAACAGGAAACATTTCCTTCACTTTGTCTTCTTCAAAAGCAATAACCACATATTTAAAAGAGGAAAAAGGAAACAGCTTGCATTTTGAACAACCGTTTTATGAAATATCTGTTATTAGTTGGTAAGGAGATTTTCAAATAAAATTTCTTGTAAAAAAAAAAAAAAGACTAACTTTCCAGTCGAGAACAGTAAAGTTTGTAACGTTTTATTAAGTGGACATCACATGGAATAGAACCGCACCTCTAAAGGCTTTGGCAGGTTTCAGGATGGGATGATCAGGTGGTGTGTATACTGAGAAGCGTCTACACTGAGAAGGTGGGTTGAAGGAGCGCACTAGTAGCTTTCTGTGGGCAGCTCCCAAGGGAGGGCACGAGCCAGGTGCATGTGGGGCCCATGCCCTCCTCAGGGGAGGGCAAGACATGCAGAAATGGGAAAAATCAGGAGGCAAGTGGTATATAATTAAGAAGGAAGCTGAGTGGCATCAGCTAAAGGGCTCGGAAGGTGCAGGGTGAAGCATGGGGGTCAAACTTCAAAGAGGATGGGGGTTCAGTTAAATTTTAAAGGATGAGGACGATCTCAACAATGGAGAGGAGAACCACTGTCAACCTGTTCAAAAACAGGGCGCTGAGCATAGGTTTACACCTACTTCAAGGGGCAAAGCGGTGCTAAGGAGTCATGACAGAGGAGCAAAAAGGCAGAGGAAGCTGAGTGACTGAGCGCGGTCTCTAAAGCCAAATTACCTGGGTTTAAATCCCAGCTCTGCCACTTACCTTAGGCCTTAGTTTAAAACAAAATTTCTCTGAGCCTCAGTTTTCACATCTGTAAGATGGAAATAATAACTGCACTTATCTCATAATGATATTATAAGAAATAAATGAGTTAATACAAGTAAAGCATTTAAAACACAGTCTGAGAACTTCTAAAAGTTTATTATATATTGGCTATTACTACCATCTAATATTTGCATTATGTCTTACAGTGTTACTTCTGGTCTTCCCAACTCGACTGTGGGATCCTACAGGGTTGCGATGGGGTAAGAATGGAACTCCCTACGACCTTCCTAGGTGGCTGGCACAGCTCTAGGCTCAGTGTAGCCTAAACTCAATTCTCCAGCCAAGGAGGTGTTTTGTCAAAGAGCAAAATGAAGACCAATTACAGAGTGGACATTGTCAGTGTGATGGTTTAGAACAATTAAAATTCTTTCCAGAAGCATCATCATCTTATTTTAAAAAAGGCTGGTCACTGGATGGGGCGCCTTGGTGGCTCAGTTGGTTAAGTGTCTCATTTGTGATTTCGGCTCGGGTCACGATCTCACAGTCGTGAGATGGAGCCCCACGTAGGGCTCCCTCTTTCCTTCTGCCCTTCCCCCACTATGTGTGAGGGCATACCTTCTCTCTCAAAAAAGAAAAATAAAAAAAGGTTGGTCACTGGGGAAAAAAAAATGCATCCTTTGGTGATCTGAAAGGCTTTACCGGTGTGCTGGGTTTTGAAGAGTAAAACAGGCAGCGGGACCACCTCTCTCTACTGTGCTGTCTGTAGCTGCCTGGGGACTGGTGTCAGGAAGATTCAGAGGGAGGGCGTGGGTTCA